TGCAACAGCAGCCCTTGGCCTCAAGGAACAATGTGAGACGTTGCCTGAAATGTTAATTTCCGTTCCTCATTTCATCATCCCCTGGCAGGGCGGTAGCTGTATGTGTGTCTGAGTGTGTTTGAGTGTGCCTGTGTAGGGCTGGCCCTGCCACATGGATTCGGTTCCCTCTCAAAGAGGGATTGGGGTGTGTTTAAATCGTGCATCTTGTTTCATTTTGGGGGGAGTCTTAATTTTCCTCGAGGCCTGCTCTTCCTGGTGCACCTTTAAGGTTTCTGCTTCTGTTGTGTTTTTGGAAAACCAGATTTGTATACCAGCTTCCAAAGAGTGTTAGAAGAGACTGTGAAAGATTAAGCAGGGCTGAGAGGGCCCTACCCTTGAAAACCTTTTTCTTTATAACAGTTAAGATGTAGCTTGCTTAGATGCGTGGTTTTTCTCAGGTTAGGAGAACAATTTTATATCCATTTGCAAGAACAGGATGGTTTTGCAAATTTTTTGGAGGGGAAATCGGGTTTCAGCCTTTCTTAAACAAAAATCTGGTGAGTCTGCAGTGATTTGAGCAATATCCTTAACACTCCTTTTCAACTGAGGAATAGGAGTGCACAATTGTTTAACTGCAAAACTTAGAATATTTTGGTTTTTTTGGAGGCGTAATGAGAAGTATTCAGCAGAACTATGTAAGATGATATTACTAGTGGAAAACGTGCCATTGAAATAGTTACTATTTTTGGTTAGTGTAAACCCAGTCAATGGCATAACTTGGATAGTTCTAAACCAGAGACCCTGAGACTATTTATTTGCTGCCTTTGGGACCTTGATTTCTCTTACTAAATGTTGACTGTTCTGGAAGACCTGGAGTTCTGTTTGTGTCTTTTGAGAATGATTGCATAAGTACTCTGATACTACTTTGCAACTGTAGTTTAAAAAAAAAGGCTAAATATGTTGCTCAACTTTGATTGTGAACCTTGAATTGGATCTCCATATAGTTGGTGTTTCCTCCCCCACCCTCCATTCAGCTGTTGTTCTTCTCTTTCTGGTGTTTTCACGCTTAAGAGCAGGATCTCATTTGATAGGCCGGCCATTCTGAATGGAATGGAATGGGAGGGAACAAAGACCAAGTTGCTAAGACATTTTCCTCTGTTCTTTGTGCATGCGTCTTGATTTAGTTGAGTGAAAAGCTACCCAAAAGATATTTCTAAATTTGACTCAAACCTGAAACTTTGAGAAGTTTGTTCTTAAAGGCGTCACAGTCTTGAATTCTTCATTTGCAGTTCTGATTGTTTTGTCCACCTTCTAACTGCAGTGCCTCTGTCAGATGTTTGTCTCTAGACCCTCTTACACAGCCGTGTTGATCACACTGCCTCTCACTAAACTAGATGAACTGCTTAAGACTAGTGGCTTTCATGTTAGCTGTAATTATAGTGTTGATGCAGTGACAAATAGGATTTTCTACAAATTTAGTTAAAGAAACTATGCTATTTGTATTTGAGACTATTTTTCAAGAAGCTTTGTGTGCCTTGGATTTTTAAGTAGGTTTGACATTGTAAGGTTACGTTTCATCAAATATAAGAGGAGAGTATTTTGCATATGGGCAATGAGCCCATCATCAATTAAATAACATAATTAGAGACTATCAGTAAATGCTTGTTCAGAGAATAATCTGCGTTTGTGGCCAAAATAAGTGTTTCGATCTGTCCATTACTCTTTATAAGTCTCTTAATCCCTCAAATGGTAAGTGTAATGGGTGAGCTGCTTTTAATAGTAAGATAACCCGTTACTGTTGAGTTGATTCAGACTCGTAGCAACCCTAAAGGACAGAGTAGAACTACCCGGTAGGGTTTCCAAGCTATAATCCTTACGGAAGCAGACTGCCTCATCTTTTCTCCCACGGAGTGGTTGGTGGGTTTGAACCACTGACCTTTTCCTTAGCAGCCGAGTGCCTTAACTACTGTGCTTAACTTCTGATAAAGATGTGTCTGTTACTAAGTGGCTGTTTTTGGTTTGCTGGACCTTATTCCTGGTATCTCTAAGCTAGAGTTAGACTCAGCAGTACACTTAAATGTCTGTTTTTGTTATTCTAATATGCTTATCTTAAGTCCTACTCCTCTCCTTCATATTTAAAGTTTTCTTTGTAGTTTGCCTTTGGACCACATAGTGTTTTATATATATGGTAGAAATATAAATATTTTTATGATAAAGTCCCAAATGGTTATCTTGGCCTAACTCTGGGAGACCTTGCATGACTCCCCTCCCTGCGTAGTTCCCTGCTTTGATTCTTGGTCACTCTCCCTCGAAACTCCTTACACTGGCTACATTGGCCACGTGCCTTATTAGCCTGCCACATATCCATCCAGGGCCTCCCACACTCCCTCAGCCCTCGACTCCAAGATAACTCCTACTCGGCCTTTGGGTCTTAGTTAAATATTACTTCCTCTTAGCCTTCTTAGTCACCACTCCCAAGGAATGTGGGCCCCCCATACCTTGTCTCATCAACAGAGAACTTAACACAATGAAAATTTACAAATATATGTCTGCTCGCTCTCCATGGTAGAAGGGCTTTGAGCTTGATGAGGATAGGGACCCAGGGCTCAGCCCACGACATGACACCCTAAGTCATAGAAGTTGCTCAAGAAATATTTAATGAAAGACATTTTGTAGGTTATCTAATCTATTGCTCTGTAAACCTTAAATGACTTTTTTATTGGATTGTTGCCATGCTTATTTATGTTTAAAGCCTATATGAAAGTATTTAAGTAATTTTGATAGGGGAAACAGGATCATGAACTTCCATTTATTTGATTGACTAGAAATTCTGCTATGTGAATTTCAGCCATTTTCCCATGTGTTTTTATCATAAGTTTGCCTTTATATTTTAGGCCAAAGTGTGGGACATGGCTTTCAAAACTGAGACAGAACAAGAGGTAAAGAAAAATAACTAAAGGGGAAGGTTGTCTTTGTGGGAAGAAAATACTTTCTGTGAAAGCAAAGTTCTAGTAGAACTGCTGCTTTTTGAGGCCAACATTAGAGGACCGGAAGCAGTTTTTCTTCTGATTTCCGTATACTTTCCAAAAAGGCTTCAACATTGTAAAGGCTTTGCTGAAATTGAAGGCTTGGCTGAGTGTAGTTTGTTGCTGCTGCTGTTCAGGATACTTAAGTGTTTCATGGAGAACTTTGAGCATTTCTGGCCAATGTAACATGAACATGGTTTACCAAGATAATGGAGTCATTTGAGAGTTGTAGCATTTCAGTTACAAAATAATAATATATTTGGAGGGAAATACACCAAAGTGGGATTATATGTTACTTTTCCCCACTTAGGTTTATGTTTTCTAAATTTTCTCTAATGAACCTGTTATATAATTGGCAAAAAAGAAGTTACTTTTGAAAAGACTAATTGTGGGTGTAACTTGGAAGCTTGAGTTATTGGTTTAGTAACAGTAGGTTGATTTGTATGGCTTTACTGTTTTACCTTTTTTGGATAGCAAGGGGTGAGGTAAATTGGTTGAGGGGAGTTGGTTGGTTGTGGTTGAAGATATTTAAAGACATCCTTCTATATCTAAGAAATCTAACAGTTCTAAAGCTGGTTCTGGAATAAATAGTTAAGTAGATTTTCAGTGTGAAAATAAATCTGTTAATTTGTTATGGCTAAGATTCTTCCAGGGCTGAATGGACTGAATATTCTGTTGATGGGATAAGCCTTCTTTCATGCTGCCTACTCCTTCAACCCTCCCCACTCTGTTTTTCCTTCTTTCTTCTTTAAGGCCAAGGTTGAAGCTGCTATCAGGGGAGTGCTGTGGAGCCAGCATTGCTGTCTGAGTTACAGTGTCCTTAAACCGTCTGGCTAAGGGCAAGACCTAAGTTTCCAGTCTGCCCTTGGCATCTGTGCAGTGAATTATTTATTATCCTGAAAATCTGTAGGCACTCTTTTTCCACTTGTAAAGAAACCAATGTGCACCTGTTCATTATTCGAAAATCTTGCCCTTTTCTCAACACAAAATGTTTTTGATCACTTAGATCAAAATTTTTTTTGTCAAGGTTAAGTAAAATTCTTAATCCTTCTCCCTGGGTACTCGTTTAACTCTAAAAAATGTGATCTTTAGAAATGGTTAAAGTTCTACATTTCAAATATCAGAAGTTATTTTTTCATCCAAAATGTAGCAGATAGACCTTTTTTTCTTACATCATTAATAGCAGTTATCCACTCTTCCCCTCTTTCCAGTGGCAGTTTTCAGAGATTGGACCCAGAATGCTAATATCCTGGAATAATGACTATTTCTAAATGACAGGAAGATTGCATAGGGTTCATGAGGTTTTTGACCAAAGTTAGGATGGGCTTTTTTCCTACTGTAGTCAATATCTAGCAAAGTAAACAAAAAAGACTTTCATTTAATTCTGGGTGTTTTAAAACTCTATGCCTTGATTGTCTCTAATTGCTTGAGTTCCAGGAGCTGAGAACTGATACCTTCTTTTACATAGCTTTAATATAAAACTGAAAAAGGTGAATTGCACACAAATTTCATTAAAATTGAGATTAATAGAAAACCTACTGAAACTATTTCAAGACAATAACTTCTATTTATTTGAGTCTTATATAAACTGGAGATCATTATAGTTACAGTGTTTGAATTTATCTTAAATAGAGTGAGAGGAGCAATGAAGAACCTTATTACTATTAAGAAATTAAACCTTGTTAGTTTGCAACATGTTTCTAAATGTGGTTTTACATCCTGCAAAACAGGAAATAAAAATAAAAAAACCAAAAAAACCCCAGAGCAACATTCTTGAAAGAATTATTATTATTTTTTAAATTACTGAAGTGTCCGGCTAATTAAAAGACAGGCAGAATTTCACATTAAAAATCTTACCTGTTTGGATGATCACAAAGAAGAAAATCTAGTCTCTAGGAGTCTGAAAAATGTGTTGAAAACTGGTAACTTACCTAAGTGTCCTATAAGCCCATGTTTGATTCTGATTTCAAGGAGTTTTAGACTTTGTGAATTTTTTATTTGCAGAGTTGTATGTTTTGCCCTCTAATATATTTGTTACCAATGTAGGTATTTTCATTACTTTGAGAATAGTCCATCTAAAAATTGGAAGTTCTTTAGTTTAGAGCTTACTATGTTACGTATAGTAAAACTCAAAAACATTTTCTTAGGAATTTTTTTTCTGGCAATTGAGAAGAGTAATCTTTGAATTGTGTCCTTTATCTTTTAATATGAAACTTAGAAAAGTGATACGTGCTTTCACTCATAGCTTAAGTAACTTTCAGGAGATGTAACCTTAATGAGATTTACATACGAACTTTCTGTTTTTCTTTGGTGAAGTGATTAGATCTGATTCTACGAATTTTGAGTCCTCTTCAGATGTCTGGCCTTTTTAAAGAAAAAACTATGCTGAAGCTTTGGAAAAAGCATACTTAAGGTGAAGAGTAATGATACGACGAATTTTGAGAAAATTGGGGGAAAACCTCTTCGAATTTAGCCTATGACCTCTCCTTTTTCTTTTCCCTAATAGCTTTCTTCCAAGCCTCCAAATACTTTGGTTCAAAGAAGATGGGGGATAGAAGGTAGAAGATGGGAAAAAGAAGTAACAAAATGAAACAAAAACCCAAACCTGTTACTGTCAGTTGATTCTGATTCATAGCGACTCTATAGGATAAAGTACAACTGCCTGTAGGGTTTCCAAGGCTGTACTCTGTTTTTTTTTTTTTACTTGTACGTCAGGTGAAGGTTTACAGAACAAATAGTTTCTCATTAAACAGTAGTACACATGTTGCTTTATGACATTGGTTAACAACCCCACAACATGTCAACCCTCTCCGTTC